GTTTCTACATATTCAACCCCCTTTTTTTCTCCCATGACCTGTTAGGATACATGTATGAAAGATTTGCTCACCTGTCTCATCATCAACTGCCAATTCTGAGTTCGTTCCAACTATTTCATCTGCACCGGCTTCAAATAAACCTTTTCTCACCTGAATAAAAGCTAACTTTGGTTCCTCACTTGAACTCCCTGATTGACTCCGTCGACATCTCTTCGAGCTCTTGGGTGCTGTTTGGAATCATCTTCACCCTCGGGTACTGCTGATTCCGCCTCCTAAAGCGAAGAAATCGGTTGCAGTTATGGCGCTTTGGATCGTGAACCCCATAATCATCCTCATAAACTACCCCGTTAGTCTCGATAAATTGGATAATAACGTCATTCCAACCATTTGCATCTTCTTTCAACCATGCATATCGAGTTTTCGTAAATGAGTCGACCACGTATGATGTCGAAAGCGAACCCACCAAATTACGGTCATTGACGTTGTGACGACTCTTCTGTACCTGCTTCTCGAGATAGGATAGATTTGAGAATAACTCACAGAAATCTATTGTCACAGAGGTAAAAGCTAAAAGATACTTTTTTAGACAATATATGTATATATTATGTATAGTTATCCTAATATAATTTAATTAAAGTGATCTACTGCAATTATATTGTAAATCAGATAGTATAAAATATAATCTCTTGGTCTATATATATATACACACACACTAGTACAATTACACGTGTGTTTGAATTAACAAGTATATATATAAAAAGATATTATACCTTTTATTTTAATATTTTAAACTTAAATAATTTGTGATTTAATTAAATTTCCAAACTATATGTTTTTTTTTAATCATATTAGTCCAACACCCGTATATCATTTTAGAATTGATAGTCAAACTATATATTTTTTTAAAAAAAAAAAATAATTTTTATGCTTTAGTTAGGAGTTTGATGTATGCCTACATTTGTGTAAGACCTGATATATATTTTGTTGTTGTTATGTTAGGTATATAATTATGTAATCCTAGTATGGATCATTGGAAGTAGTCAAACGGGTCATGAGAAACTTGTGACTAGAAAACTAAAGATTACATGTTCACCTATATATAGTGATTTTGGTTTTGCTAGATGTCAAGAAAACTATATACCCAAAACTTAGAAATTTTATGTGGAGGGTATATAATGGCTTCCTGGGAACCAAGATCAAGTTGAGGGCCAGAGGTATGTTTGTTCATGATATATGCCTGATATATGGTGATGGACAGGAATGTATTGATCACTTATTCAGTCATTGTCCTGAAGTGGTTAAATGTTGGAAGCTTTTGGGAATTCATTGGGAACTACTGCAGGGAGGACAGGCAAACATACAAACCTGGTGGGATGAAATATGTTCTACTAACATATTTCACTGTATGTAGGACAGAATAACTCTATCTGTGTGTCTTCTCCGTAGGATATGGAAAGCAAGGAATAACTTGCAGTTCAATCAAATCAAATTTGAAGCTTTGGAGGTTGTCAAGCAGACAAGAGCAGATTGGAGTGAATGTGCAGATGCAGTGTTATTCCAGCAAAGGAAAAACAAAATTCATCTTGCTGCTTCATGAACCATTGAAGAGAAATTTTCTAGTGAAGTAGTGTATGTATCATTACATATCAGTGCTTTGATCTCTGAAATGGGCATTGTAGGAGCAGGTGGAGTGGCTGCCAACAGGGATGGAGTTATGAATTTATGGCACATAACCTGGGACAAATCAGACAATGAATTCACAGCCACAATTCAAGCTGCGGTTTGGATGTTGGACATAGCTGTAAAAGAAGGATGGAAGAAGGTCATCTGTTTTATGGATTTTCAGAAAGTGGCGACTGAGATTTCACAAGCTTTGGGAGCCAGACCTTATGTGGTGGATTTGTTGGACGATTTTGTTACACAACTTGTGTTTTGTATTACAACGGGAACCTATGAACTGACTGAAGTGTTCAGTTCGTACAAAAGAACTAAAACAAAAAATTAAATTACAACTCGAACGCGGAGAGATTTGAGCCGAGGCGATTGAAATCTATCCGCAAGACAAATACGCCCCGTGTAGTGCTGACGGGTCAGTGCGTAATGTCCCCAAAGATACAACGGCTTTAACACTCGGAAGTTGTAGCACACCAGCCTTCAGAGTCCAGTCGAACAAAAATGAAGTCGAGAACCGAGAACTATGATATGATGCGTGAAGTTTTGAGATTATCAGATTGCATGAAATGTTGTGTATGTTCTCTGCACCTCTAAGTCC